AACAACAACAGTTGAATTTAGATAGAAATTGTGTCAATTCTGTACCTTAATATGAGGAATAGTGTCATTGAACAAAATTAAATCTTTTGTCCATGAAAAACAGAATATATTTCCATTAATTTAAATCTTCATTATTTTTAAATGATATTTTGTAATTTTTAGTGTACATGTCTTACACTTCTTTTGTTAAACTGATTCTAAACACTTTAGTTTTTTGATGCTATTATTAATGCATTATTTTCTTAATTTCACCTTTGATCATACCATTAATTTTTACATATAGGTATATTATACATTATAAAATCAATCTTTCACTAACATTAGCATGATGTTAATTGTAGGTTTTTGGAGATACTTCTTATCAGATTAAGAAAATTCCCTTTTATTGGTTTATTTTTCATTGTTTTTTTTTTTTTACCATGATAGGATAGACTATTTGAATGTAAGATGTTTTTTCTGCATTTATTTAGATCAGCGGTTCTCAACCTGTGGGTCGCGACCCCTTTGGGGGTTGAACGACACTTTCACAGGGGTCGCTAAGACCATCAGAAAACACATATATAATTATATATTGTTTTTGTGATTAATCACTATGCTTTAATTATGTTCAATTTGTAACAATGAAAATACATCCTGCATATCAGATATTTACATTACGATTCATAACAGTAGCAAAATTACAGTTATGAAGTAGCAACGAAAATAATTTTATGGTAGGGGGTCACCACAACATGAGGAACTGTATTAAAGGGTCGTGGCATTAGGAATGTTGAAAACCACTGATTTAGATGCTTATGTATTTGTATTCTTTATTCTGTTAATATGTATTAAATCTATTTAGGTTATTTATTTCTAATAGAGTCAGCTTCAGTCTTTTGTGTCCATTATGTGTTCAATGAATTTATCTATTAAATCAAAGTTATCTAATTTATTGGCATGCAATTGTTAATACTATTCTTTTATAATTTGTTTTATTTCTGCAAGATCATTATTAATGTCTCTACTTTAATTTCAGATTTTAGTTATTTAAGTCTGCTCCTTCTTTTCTTGTTTAATTTAGTGAAAACTTTGTAAATTTTGTTGATCTTTTCAAAGAAGCAGTTTTGGTTTCATTAATTTTCTTGATTGCTTTTCTATTATCTGTATCTTTTATTTCTGTTATACACTTTATTCCATCTTTCTGCTTGATTGTTCTCCCCATCCCCTCCCCTCCAGTGTCTAAAATGGCAAGGCTATTTTATTGATTAGATACATTTCCACTTTTGTGTAAGCATTTACAGTTAAAAATCAGTGCTAATTTCTCTCCAGTAATTAGCTGCATTGGTAAGGTTTAGTGTGTTATGTCTTCATTTTCATTTATATCAAAGTATTTTATAAATTCTATGTTGTGATTTTTGACTTATTAGTCAAAGAAGTGTATTTTTAAATTATTATATATTTGTAAGTTTCCCAATTTTTTTCTATTGATTTCTAATTTTATTCCATTGTGTTTGGAGAATATAATTTTTATTATTTTAATCCTTTTAAATTTATTGAAGTTCATTTATGTCCTAGAATATTGTCTGGACTAAAGAGTACTCCATTTGTATTTGAGGTGAATGCATATTGAGCTAATTTGGGGCATTGTGCTCCATAGATGTCTGTTAGGTATTGTTGATTTACAGTGTTGTTCAAGTCTCTCTCTCTCTCTTCCTCTCTCTCTCTCTCTCTTTTAAATTGATAATTGATTTTTAGAGAGAGAGGAAGGGAGAAGGATGGGGAAATGAAAACATTGATGAAGGAGACACATCGATCAGCTACTTCCTGCATGACCTCTACTGGGGATCAAGCCTGAAACCTGCATATATAACCTGACTGGGAATTGAACCAGTGACTTCATGGTTCATGGGTCTACACTCAACCACTGAGCAACACTGGTAGAGCTTGTTCAAGTCTTTTATTTCCATGATGTTCTTTTGCCTAGTTTTTCTATCCATTGTTAGAAGTGAGATATTGAAGTCTTTAACCACTATAACTCAATTGTTTATTATCCTCTTTATTTCTGTCTTCTATTTTCATACATTTGAAGTGCATATTTGCTTATATTTATTTTTATTAAAAAATCTTTATTATTGAGAGTATTACAGGTGTCCTTCTTTCTCCCCAATAACCCCCCTACACTTGGTTCCCACCCTGCCCCAGGCCTTCACCACCCTATTGTCTGGGTCCATAGGTAATGCATATATGCTTGTAAGTTCTTTGGTTAATCTCTTCCTGCCCCCCACCTCCCCACTTCCCTTTGAGATTAGTCAGTCTCTTTCACGTTTCCATGCTTTTGGTTCTATTTCATTCATCAGTTTATTTTGTTCATTAGATTCCTTATTTATTAATTTTGATTTTTAGATTCAATTATTGATAGATATGTATTTATTGCAATTTTATTGTTTGTATTCTTGATCTCTTCTGCAAGAATGCCCTTCAACATTTTGAGGAGACAGGGAGCTAGGTAGATAGGAGAGGGACCACAGGAAAGGAAATAGAACTGGGAATCCAGTGAGGCGGAGTTACTAAGGCACCCCAAGTGGGCTGGAAGGAAGGGCACACATGCCAGAGGCATGAACTTTAAAATGTATGGAAATTGCTAAGATAGGTAGCATGCAAATAACCAATCACAAGGCAGTAAGGAGTATAAATCAATCCAGAGGATATTTCAAAGGCAGAATTCCTTGAAAAGACCAATTAGGAGTTAGTAAGACTACCCACCCTCTAAATTAAAAGGCACGTACTTCCCCTCACTCTTTCTCTTTTCTCACTGGCAGGCAATGGGTTCCTGTGGCATGAGAGCACATCCCTGCACCACGTGGCTTATGGCCATGTGGGCCTCCACCCATTGACTATTAGACTTTAATTAGCTTGGATGCTAAACTACTCCCGACTGTAATATAAAAAGGAAGCTCTGGACACTGACCTGCTCCTGGAACCCCAGCTACACCTTTTCCAGGACTGGCTTATCCCAATAAACTTTGCTCCTGTTCATTGTTTTTGTCTGCGACTTCATGCTTCGATTTTCGTGAGACAAGAACTTGGATTCAAACAACACCCACATTTGTTGGTATCAATTTCATATAATACTTCTTTAGTGGTGATGAAAGCCTTTAGCTTTTTCTTGTTTATGAAGCTCTTTATCTGACCTTCAATTCTAAATGATAACTTTTCTGGGTAGGAGTAATCTTGGTTGAGGTGCTTGTTATTCATCACTTTTGAATGTTTCTTGCCACTCTCTCTGGCCTGCAAAGTTCCTGCTGAGAAATCAGCTGATAGTTGTGTGAGCGCTCCCTTATAGGTAACTAACTGCTTTTCTCTTGCTGCTTTTAAGGTTCTCTCTTTGTCTTTAACTCTTGGCATTTTAATTATGATGTGTCTTGGTTTGGGCCTCTTTGGGTTTTTCTTGTTTGGGACTCTGTACTTCCTGGACTTGTCAGTATATTTCTTTCATCAGGTAGGGGAAGTTTTCTGTTATTATTTCTTCAAATAGGTTTTCAATATCTTGCTCTCTCACTTCTTCTTGCACAATCTTATAACCATTGTTTTGAACTCTGTATATAGTAGTTTGCTTGCTTCCACTTCATTAGGATCTCTTTCTGGAGATTTCTTCTATTCTTTTTTTGTGACATGTTTCTTTTTCCCTGCATTTTGATTGCTTCCCTGTGTTTGTTTCTATGTATAGGTAGAGCTGCTATGTCTCCTGAAATTGGTAGAATGGCTTTGTGTAGTATGTGTCCTGTAGGGCCCAGTGGATCAGCCTCCCCAGTCACCTCTGCTGGGCACTCTAGGTGCGGCCTGTGTGGGCTGTGTGTACAGTCTTATAGTTGAGCCTTGATTGCTTTTGGCGTCACTGGGAGGAATTGACCTCCAGGCTAATTGGCTGTGAGGACCAGCTGCAACTATAGCAGAAGAGCTGCTGTTCAGGAGACAACCCTATGGAGCAGTACTTACTTTAGTGGGGCTTTGCTACTTACTGAGTCTGCCCCTTGAGTGTGTACTTTGTGGATATATAAAGTTGTAATCTGGTATGGTCTGAAGTTGTCCATTGGGTGCACTGGCTCTGGGGCCTCCCAGGAGTTGCAAAGTCAACCACTGCCTGGTGCCACCCAGGAGGTGTTACAGAGCAATCTGCAGATGGCTTCTACTTGTATGGGGCTTAGAAGTGCCCATGGGAGGCCCAGCTGTGAAGCAAGGCAGGCTGGTGCTAGTGCCATGTCTTAGGCCTCTTATTGATAGGTATGTGGCATGCTAACAACAGCTGCTGCTTGTTTGAGAGATTTTGGAAAGTCTGAAACCTGAGCTAGGAAGGCCATTCATATGGAAAACCCACTACAAACAGCTTGCGTGGGGCTGCAAATTGGATGGGGTGGGATCTCAGGGAATCACCAGGGTGGAGAAAACAGTATGAGTTGTGGTGATGGAACTCAGATATAGCTACCAGTCAGCTCTGTGATGAGGTGAGGTCTCAGCATAGGAACAATGACCCCTGTAAGTACCCCTGTCTAGGAGAAAGCCATCCCCTGAGCTCTTGCTATGATGCCAGATAATCCAGTTCCTCCCAGTATGTCCCTGGATTCCCCAAAGCTGCCACCTATCACTGGAGCTCAGAGGAATGGAGTTCGAGTAAGTCCAAGAGAACACGCGGGTCTTCAGCAACCTCCTTGTCACCCAGACACAATCCCCACTGGTTTTTACAGCCCAAAGTTATGGGGGATTCTCTTCCCAGAGCTAGAACCCTGGGGTGGGGGTCTGAGACCCCTTGCTTCTCACAGGAGGCCTCCACAGCCTAGATATCCCACCTGATTAAAATCACACCACACTTGGGTGTCGAACCACCATGTTCCATGCCTCTGCAACCTCCTACCAGCCTCAATGAACTTTCTTCTTTAATTCTCTAGTTGTAGGACTTCCATTCGGCCAGATTTCAGGGGGTTTTGAATTATGGTTGTTCTGCATTTTAGTTGTATTTTTTTTTATTACATAAAAAAACTTTTATTTTAATTTACTATACATGTTTAAATTTTAGGAAGCTACTAGGTAGATGCACTTTCATCTGCAGGTTTAGTTTGATCTTCAGTTACCAATTTCCGAGACCTTTCCAATAGCTTAGTCCATATAGTAAAATGTGCTCTTAAGTGAACAGGTAAAGAGAGACCCTGGAATCTTCGTATAAGACTTGACCTGGTGGCCTGAAGATTGTGAACCGCTGACACTTCAAACTGGGAACAAATACTTGTTCTTGGAATAAGAGGGCCTTCAGTCACATCAATGAAGTCACCAAATCTGTGCAGCTTAACTATTCTCTCAGGATTCTGAGATGCTTTCTCTTCTATGAGATCTACTTTACACCTGTTGTATTGAAATATTTCTAATGCCACTTTTGCATCAACTTCCAGAGTTTCAAATGGGAGGTCTTTATAAATTAAAGTATTAGCATCTTTTGTGAAAGAACGTAGGTTCTCTTTTGTTGGCATCCACTCATCAAGCCTCTTATCCAAAACTACATCATAGCAGAAGGCTCCAGCAATCACAGGCACTTCTGGAGCTCTGACCAAACTGACCAAGTATTCGTCTTTGAATGCCCTCTCTATCACACAGCCCATCATCATGGCACAAGACTGCCAATAAGCCTTATTAACTTCTCCTGGATCACGATCTTTGAAAGTAAGAAACTGAATTTCACAAGATTTGGTCAAAGGCTTATACATGTCCCATGACTGTCCATCCACAAGAGCCAGAATGGACTTCTTGCAGTACCACTCACTTAAAAACATCGCACAACTGTAGTTGTAATTTTTATATGGTTGTGGGAGGTGGCGAGTACCAACATTTACCTGTGCTGCCATCTTGGTTCTCTCCAAAAGTAGCAAATCTGCTTATGATATTTATATCTTTTTTATATATTTGACATTTTATTAAAAAATGGTGCTGATCATCTCTAGGAACATTTTTTGTTTTACAGTCTCTTTTGTCTGAAATTAGTACAAACACTTCAGCTTTCTTATAATTGCTTTTTGCATGACCTTTTTTCTTTGACTTTTTTAAAATATATATTTTATTGATTTTTTACAGAGAGGAAGAAAGAGGGATAGTTAGAAACATTGATCAACTGCCTCCTGCACACCCCCTACTGGGGATGTGCCCGCAACCAAGGTACATGCTCTTGACTGGAATCAAACCTGGGACCCTTCAGTCTGCAGGCCGACGCTCCATCCACCGAGCCAAACTGGTTAGGGCTTTTCTTTGACTTTTTATCTATTTGTATCTTTTATCTAACGTTTGTCTCCTGTAGAATGTATATTGTTCAGTCTTTTTTTGTAAAATTTAGTTTGACAATCTGGTTTTTGGTCAGATGGTTTAATTTTTTTACATTCAATTTATTATGGCTACAGTTGGATTTATATTTGTCCTTTTAAAATTTGTTTGTATTTTATTTGTTTCTCTAGTCTTTTAATTCTTTCTTTTGTATTAGGTGAATGTTTTCTAATGTAACATTTTAATTATTTGGATTTTTTTAACGAGTTTTTTTCAGTTATATATTTAATGGTTACTCTAAGGTTTACCACATATATCATAATTTATCGGAATATATTTCAGATTTATATTAACTTTATTCTAATGAGATATAGAAATGTTACTCCTACATAGCTCTATTTTTCTCTTTTGGTGCTATTATGTGATACATAATATATCTGTATATTATATAGCCCATGAATACATTGTTTTAAGTCTTAGTTTTTATAATTTTTTGTCTTTTAAATAAGCTCATCGAAGCAAGGACAGCAAGTATACACTTATAGTGTTTGTTATATTAAACTTATTATTTTCCATTTCTCTATCTCTTCACTTCTTCCTGAGGATTTAGTTAACATATGGTGTCATTTCCTTACTCCAAACTAGCTTTACTTTTACCCATCTTCTTTAAGCTCTGAGTGCTAAATATATTACATTTCTATATGTTAGTTACAACACAATTATATATACATATAGTTTTATAAAATTCCCTTTTAAATAAGTTAAGAAAAAAAGAGGCAAAGTAAAATATTTTTATAATTTGTATTGTGTTCTATAATTACATAAACACCTTTACTGGTGGTTGTTTTTTTCATGTTGATTGGAATTTCTATCTGGGTTTACATACTTTCTGCCTAAAACACTTCCTTTAGTATTTTTGGAAGGTGAGTCAGCTAGCAATGAATTATCTCAAGTTTTGTTTTGAAAATGTCTTTATTTCACTTTAATTTTAAAACATACTTTTCCTGGATAAAGCATTCATGCTTGACAGCTTTATTTCTTTATTTAATTTTGGAGGGGGCATTGGTTCTTTTGCCCATTGCCTTCTGAACTGTATTGTTCCTGAAGAGTGGTAAGCTATTAATTTTATTTGAAGGGTGTCCATTGTAAGTAATAAGTTGTTTTATCTTGCTGCTTTTAATATTTTCTTTATTTTTATTTATCATCACTTTTTAAAGGTGTGTCTGGTTATGCATCTCTATGCATCTCTTATTATACTTGGAGTTCATTGAATCTATGAGATGTGCAATTTAATCTTTTCCATTAAATTTAGAAAGAATTCAGCTGTCATTTCTCACATATTGTTGCTGCTCTTTTTCTCTCTCCTCTCCTTCCAGCACTCCTGCTGCAAGTATGTTTATGTGCTAGTGGTTTTCCACATTTCTCTGAAGCAGGGTTCATTTTTTTAAATTCCCTTTTCTCTTTGTTCTTCAATGTGTAATATTTATCAATCTATCTTCAAGTTCACAAATTCTTTTTTCTATCAGTCATGCCTTTAGTGGTACATCTCTAGTGAAATTTTCATTTGCTTTTGTGCTTTTCAACTCCAGAATTTCCATTTTGTTCTTTTTAAAAATTTCAATATCTTTATTGCTATTTTATATTTGATGAGACATTGTCACTATACCTTCCTTTAATTCTTCAAACACAGTTTACTCTATATTTTGAATATATTTATAATATATGCTTTGTAGTTTTTGTCTGTTGATCCCAACATTTGAGCCTCCCTCAAATGCAAACAATATTGTCTGGTCTTCTTTCCTGTTTATGAGTCACATCTTCCTGTTTCTTTGCCCCTGTTTTATATTTCTGTTGAAAAATGGGTGCTTTAATGCATTGCAGTAACTTGTGATATTGATACCCTTCACCATTTTCCCAGGTCTTTTTGTTGCTGTTGTTAAGTATTATATTGTAGCAACTCTGTACATTTAATGATACTCCATGCCTCAGATCTCAGGGGTGATGTCAATATTTGTATTTTGCTTGTTTATTTGCTCAGTTGCTTAGATGGAGTAGGTTCCATCTGGGACTATGTGCCTTTCTTACAATGGGGACTGGAGAGGAGAAAGCAGCCCCTTTCCTTCTACTTGTACTTTCTTAGATTCTACCTTTTGTAGCATGGGGCTGCGTAGGATGAGACATGCTGCTGATATGCCCCACCTGCAGTGAAACTGTAGTCCTAGAGCTGGTAGTTAAGGGAAGAGGGAGCCCCAATCTTTGTGATATAATCAACTCAGAGAAGAGCTTCTGCCGCACTGATCTAGGGGGAGAGTGGGAATGGCCCAAGGCTCAAATGCTATAGACTTACAGTGTTTTTCCTGAGATTTATTAGATTTTCTTGAATGAACTTTTACTGATATCCTGTATGTCATTCTGATACCTTACAGACTTTCAGTGGTTACTTGATTATATTATTCACCAGTAAATGATTGCTTATCTGGGAAGAGTCTCTGCCAAGCTCCTACCACTACCATTCTGGAAACCCCACTGCCTTACTTTTCCTATCTAAAGAGAAACAAATATAAAATCAGCCTTGCTGGCGTGGCTCAGTGGCTGAGTGTTGACCTATGAACCAGCAGGTTGTGGTTCGATTCCCCATCAGGGCACATGCCCGGGTTGCAGGCTCAATCCTGTGTGGGGCATGAAGGAGGCAGCCAATCAATGATTCTCTCTCATCGTTGATGTTTCTATCTCTCTCTCCCTCTCCCTTCCTCTCTGAAATCAATAAAAATATAAAAATTAAAATAAAATTCAAAGACATCTGTATTAAATTATATATGTTTTCTCACTATTCTCAAATGAGTTTGCTGACTGCTGTTTAAACTATTTTCTTAAATGTCATTGGTCCTTACACTGCAGTAGCTATTTTAGTTTGCTGAGTAGTGTCTGGCAAATTAATATTCTAATGCAGGAAATATTGCTTATTAGTACAGTTAATTGTTTGATACAAACAGTATTCATATGAGTTTCATGCATGTTTATTAGATTAAATATTTTTTAGACTTTAGCTGGTTTTCTAAATAAGACTTTTTCATTTTTTGTGGGGCTTGCTCTTATTATAAAAAATAGAAAAAATTATATATATATATATATATATATATATATATATATATATATATATAATCTGCTTGTTAAAATGTTTACACTCTCACTTTCGGTATGTGTCCATTTAGTGGAAAATTCAATAGATAAAAATAGTATATGTATCACAAAAATGTATGCTAATTTTTTCTAGTTGTGAATGTGATGTGGGAAAGATTTTTTTAAAACCTTTTCACAAGTGTTCATATTTTAATCTATTTGAAATTAAGAAATACGCCTCTCTAAGGCTACCTTCTGGAATTTCTAATCTCTCAGGGTGTGAAGGACAATTTTGAGGCAAAAGGAAATATACAATTTTGCTAAAGGAAAAAGAAAAATTGTAACTAATTAAAATGGGTAACTTCTTTGACAACTTCAAAGGAATTTCAATTAAAATGACAAGTTAACTAGATTTTTGAACAGCATGCATTGAGAAGTAAGTGTAATTATTGATGTATAAAAACATAAAGTTTGCCTTTGGTGTAGTGTGAACATGCATTGTGTTTATTAGAGACATGTGGCTGGACAAGTTAGAATATCAGAACCATAGACTTTTAAGAACCTTCTAGTACTAGGTAAGATAATGTCCCCAATGGTCACTTCTTTAACAGAAAAACGCAGAAATCTCAGTGCTCTAATAAAATAGCTTTTTTGTTCGTTTGTTTGTTTTTCTTATTTATGTGAAGGCCAAACTCTTGGAAGCCAATGTCTCTACATATAGCTATCATTTGTGTTGTTTTGTGTTTAGGTTTTTTGTTTGTTTGTTTGTTTTATTCTGTTCCCCTACAGAATTTCAGTGCTTTCCACGAGGGGAAAAGCGTAGAGAATCCTATGGGAAGGTGTGCGGACAGGTATAAAGAGCCCCATTTCCTTTCACTGTGGTCCCATCCTGTTGGTACTGAGTCCACTGAAACCGCAGGAAGGCTGCTGCCTTCATTCCCGCTGGACAGCCAGCCTGCGCTCGGCTTCAGAGGAGTCTCCTCTCCAGTGTCCTCCGCTGTGGCAGGAAGGCCTGGTTGAACCCCAGTGAGACCAAAAAAACCGCCAATGCCAATGCCGATTCAAATTCAGCAGCGGATCAAAGATGGGCTGATCAGCAGGAAGCCGCTGGCTGTCCCTTCTGGGCTGGATGCCAGGAAAGCACTTGGCCCGCAGTGAGGGCCGCCCTAAGGGCAGAGGTAAGAGAGGGTACTGCCAGTGCTCCCAGGCCTGACTGTAACCTGGGGGAGGCGGGGGAGGATTCCTCCCACTTCTTAGAAGAGGCTGTGGCTCTAAGAAGGTTGACTGCCACGGGTCCCACAGCCTGTCCCTGAAAGTGAAGGGTAGCGCCTTCAGAAACAGCGGATTCTCAGGGGACACATCTGCAATCTGCAGACAAGCTCGCTAGAAGCTTCCGAGGCCTGAGGTCTAAGACCAAGGAAGCTCCTGACCGCCCTGAAGAGTGGCTCCGGGCCAAGAAGCAGGAAATCAT